TCCCAGTTCAATTACCCAACATTAACTGTGATGACAAGACTCAATCAAGGTTTGAACGTCAGAGAAATCTCTCGCAAAATCTCTCGTCAATCACACAAATAGGTACTCATTAGGTACCTGTTATTAGTGATGAAAGATTTGAGGGATAAATAGGTGACAAAGTTTTGTTTTCTTTAGAAAAAGTAAAACTTGAAGCCATACTCTGCTGGGATGAATTGCTTTGCTTTGTCAGTTTTGCCAAGTTTGCTACCAGTTTTGCTAACAATTGCAATTTCTCTATTCCCTTTTTTCAACTTAGCTCTACCTTTTTAAAAGAACTTTTAAGGTTTTCACTTTACTTTACTAGCCTTTGAGAGCTCTTTGGCTTGGAGAGCTCTTTGGCTTTGAGAGCTCTTTGGCTTTGAGAGTTAATGCTCATTCTTTTCAAAATTAGCTCAATATTTAACTCTTCTTTTCAAGATCCTAATATCAAAATAATAGTTAACGTGTTGTGCTTCTGCAAAAGCTTGAAAAGCTTGAAAACCGTAAAATCGTCACCAACTCGGCTCGGCACTACTATTAGAGAAAATACGGTAGTAGGGTTTGGAATAAGCTCCTAGAAGTAGTCATCCTTATCAAATTTCGGTCGGTTCTCATCCCCATCATCTTTCCCTTTATCATTCTTTTGCGAACCGTATTAGTAGGGTTTGGAATAAGCTCCCATCCGGTATCTTCTCGTCTGTAGGAAAATTGAAAGTATCAGTAAACGAATGCGATCTTGTTTCCATGTCAAATCTGCCCAATATTTAATCTTTTTGTACCTGTGTTTCCTAACTCTAGTCTTACTGTACTATTTTTAGTTTTCTTTCTTTCTTTGTGAAAGTATTGTAGCAATATGTTAGATGCGGTTATGATTTTCTGATTCGCTTCTATTCGTCCCCTGAATCAAGCATATAATAATAATAATAATAATAATAATAATAATAATAATAATAATAATAATAGTCATAATAATAATGATTTATTAAATTGACAAATTCTACAAAATTCTCTTCCTGGTTTCCTCTTGACTTCCTCTTGACTTGACTTCCTCTTGACTTGACTTCCTTGACTTCCTCTTGACTTGACTTCCGCCGCCCCGCTGCTTCCTTGCTTGCTTTGACTTCTCTTGACTTGACTTCCTCTTGACTTCCTCTTGACTTGACTTCCTCTTGACTTGACTTCCTTGACTTCCTCTTGACTTGACTTCCTCTTGACTTCCTCTTGACTTGACTTCCTTGACTTCCTCTTGACTTGACTTCCTCTTGACTTGACTTCCTTGACTTCCTCTTGACTTGACTTCCTCTTGACTTGACTTCCTTGACTTCCTCTTGACTTGACTTCCTTGACTTCCTCTTGACTTGACTTCCTCTTGACTTGACTTCCTTGACTTCCTCTTGACTTGACTTCCTCTTGACTTCCTCTTGACTGCGGAATCGACTTCTGCTTACTTTCATTACGTCAAATTTGAGTATAGAAATGTGTCATTTGTTTTATAGACTTGAATGACTTAAATTGACAATCAAAATATCTAGAAATTCTTTGGGTCTGGCACCATAATTTCTGGTCACCCAATATTTGTCGATATCCTAAAAGAGCTGATAAATAGGCATCTCTTGTCTATATTTATTATCATCTTCAGCTGAATTTTCGAATTACATGAACTCAGCTAATGGTCTCTACAATGAATTATTCACAAAAAGAACCTACCGTAAATACTGTAATAGTACCCCAATCCCATAATGACGGTGCGGAGTGTTGTGTAGTCAGCTTTGAACGGGTTTTTCTCGACACTGGTTTCTGCTACAATGTTCGTTTGCGTATCAAAAAATAGCTGAAATTCAGGGCTATTTTTTGATACCAAAGACGCATTTTTTGAAAGTACGGGCGCTTTGAAAAAAATGAAATACTAAAAACTTTTGCGACTACGAGACTGTACGAGGGGGGTGGGGTACTATTACAGTATTTACGATACTTATAAAGCATATATAAATATAACACTTTGTACTTTTAAATGAGATTTGTATAGTATTGGGTTGTCCAGTTATGAATGCGCGTTTTTTACTATTTTGTAAATTTCTCAAGATACCGAAATCAAGAAAAAGATATATATGAGTATTATTCGAAAGCTGAAGATTTCCTCTACATTTTGATATAAAAAGTTTTTGAATTTGTTCAGCTTTTGGGCAAATTGACTGCACAGAAGAAGAGGTGGCCAAAAAATGGAAGGGTGCCTTTGGATCAAGTTTTGGCTCCGCTCAAATTGAGTTAACCGTTTGATGTTTGGCCAATAGATTAAATATAACAATTTCAGAGTACCTTTACTTCTCTTTTCTTTGGGTTATTTTACACCATAAAACTTGGGAATAGCTAAGCCTGGATTGTTTTTCAGAAACGACCTCTCCCTTTGTGCAGGAATTTCCAAAGTTGAATGAATTCAAAAACCTTTTTTTCCAAAAGTGGGAGATCTTCAGCTTTCGAATGATATATAGCACTCATATACATCTCTTCGATATCTTGAGAGATTTACAAAATAGTAAAAATGAGCATTCATAATTGGACATCCCAATAATTCGAGTTTTAATCGTTTGATGTTTGGCCAATAGATATACCAATATAACTTCTTTTTTTAAATATAACAATTTCATAGCATCTTTACTTTTCTTTTCTTTTCCGGGCGTTTATTTTACACCATAAAACTTGAGGAATAGCTAAGCTGGAATGGGTTTTTCCGGAAACGACCTCTCCCTTTGTGCAGTGAATTTCCCAAAAAGTTGAATGAATGCAAAAACCTTTTTTTGATTCCAAAATGTAGAGGAGATCTTCAGCTTTCGATTGATATATAACACTCATATACATCTGTTCGATATCTTGAGAAATTTACATTCATAACTGGACAAGCCAATTTTTTAAAATAGGAGATCAGAGTTTTTCTCTTATATAAGTTTTTCCCTTTTCTTCTCAAATCAAAAAGTTTCTTGATCAAAGCTAAAATGCAATTCTTCAACCTTTCCAATTTGTACTCGACTTTTTTCTAAAATTTCCCCACTAAAAGGTAAAATCTCTTTGTTCTCCCAGTCGTATTGTAGTCGGATGCGAAACTTTTCCTGAAGAGAGGCAAAATTCTCCTGAGAGATTGAGTGTATTTCCAATATCACCGTTTCCATAGCATTACCATGTAACTTTTGGCCGCGAGCTGAAAAAAAGAGAGATGAAAGATCTTCCAAAACATTATTTTCCTTTTTCTCTACGTTTTTTTACCTCCCGTGATCACACGATAATTGCCGAGAAGGGAGGAAAATCGAATTTTGGTGTCAAGGCTCAGCCAATGCTCACATTTAAACAATAAAGGAATTTTTACGAGTCATAGCTGGCAATAGTAGATTTGTTTTTGAACTCGGTTCTTGCTCTGATCCCGGATTTCAACTGCTTATGTTTTTGATTGAATAAACCATCCAAGAAGGTAGCCATTCTTTCCAAATTCTTGCTTTTACTTCACGAAAATGACTACCGTATTTTCTCTAATGGTAGTGCACCATGAGCGTCGCCTCATTGCTTCGAAATCGGCACAGCCTTGCTAAAATTGGATGCCTAGTTAGCTTTTGAATCTCAACAAGACTTTTATCTACTTTGTAATCTGTATTTGGCTGTCCAGAAGACTGTGGGAAATTTGTTAACCCCGCCCCTTTGCCATTGGCAATCTAACTTTGAGCTCAAATTTCTTGGTGTTGGGCCGTTCAATTTAAATAGTTTTTGTATCAATCGATAGAGAAAGACTTGGCGCATCTAATGATATCAAGAATATTTAAATTGGACGGTCCAAAACCAAGAAATTTGAACTCAAAGTTAGATTGGCAAAAGGGGCGGGGTCAGAAAGACCTTTCATACACGCCCCGCCCATTTGCCATTGGCAATCTAACTTTGAGCTCAAATATCTTAGTGTTGGGCTGTCCAATTTGAATAGTTTTTGTACCAATCGATAGAGAAAGACTTGGCGCATTTAATGATATAAAGAATTTGTCTTATGTCTGGATTTTTTGGAGCTTGAAATGGGTAGTCAAAAAATCGGATAGGCGACGGCTTGATGATAGGTTTTCGATACTTTAGCTAAGGAAACCTATCTCGGTGTCAATAGATAAAAGATAGAGCACAAAAAGTTTTGTATATAGCCAAATTCTCAGAGAAATTGATTCACCCAATTTCTTTGTAGAGGTTTCTATCGATTTTTACGAAAAACCCTATTGAATTTCTCGAAAAAATACCCTTTCACTCTCGAATTTGCTTGAAAGTGAACGAAAAGTGACTTAAAAAGATGGGAACTTGAAAAATGAAGACTTTTATTTAGAGTAAACTATAGATTATTTGAATGGATTTGTGATTTTTCAATAAAATTATGAAAAGAAAGGAAAAGAAAGGAAAAGAAGCGAAAAGAAGCGAAAAGATTTTCTAAAAAGCCTAATAAATACCCTATTTGTCTTTGAATTTTAACAATCATCTGTCCAGTAAAAAACTAGAAATAACTTATTTCATTATTATTCATTATTATTCAAGATTTAGTAACTAGGAAACCTTGGAAACCAAGAAAAACAAATGAGACAGGTGCAAAAATTTATAGGTTTAAAGGGGGTCTCAAAAATTGAGAAATAGCTTTCACTCGTGCTTTTCTTGAAATTTATTTGGCTAAAAAAATTGGCTAAACTATTGCACTTCCATTTGATCCAATTTTTGACTAAATTCAATGGATTCCCCGGCCCCATTGGTGATCGATGTTGATGCGAATGGGGTTGTGCAAAATCCAGTTCACAATCAACACAACAAACCCCTCAAATCCATTCTAAAGATGTCGCAGGAAACGGTAGATTTTCGAGCTTTTAGCCAGATTTTAGCGTTTTTGGCGTCTTGACTTGGTTTTTTGGTTGAATTTCTTCTTTTATGTACTCACCAAAAGAAATCCTAACTAAAAAAGAAGACTCAACTTTCAGATGGTGGTTGGATGTGGGAATAAATGTGTGAAGTACTTTTTCTGGTTGCTGAACTTCTTGTTTTTCGTGAGTTTTTAACAATTTACAATCAAGAATTTGCGAAAAAGGTTCCAAATTTCACAAATTTCTTTCAGGTATTGGGCGGTTTAATTGTGGGCATCGGTTTGTGGATCATTTTCGATCCACAATGGCAAATGCGGCTGCAGACTCTTCTGAATATACAACTGCAGAGTTTCAATCTAAATAATGTGAGTTGAGATTCGGGATTAGCGTGTATTAGATCTTGTATTAGATCTTGTATTAGATCTTGTATTAGATCTTGTATTAGATCTTGTATTAGATCTTGTATTAGATCTTGTATTAGATCTTGTATTAAATCTTGTATTAGATCTTGTATTAGGCCTTGTATTAGGCCTTGTATTAATATATATTAATGGGTATCTCTTTGTGGGTCGATCCACAATGGCAAACTAGAATCTTGTACTAGACTTTACCATAAGTTAATCCAGATCTAAAGGGCCAGAAGTCAGGCTCCGTAGGCAGTTGAGGGTTTCGTCGTCAATTTTTACCCATCAGTTTTCCACGTGAAACTTGTGGCTATGCAAACTTGTGGCTTAAAGACAAGACATTAAAGGCTTAAAAACATTCTTGACGACATGTAACCAAATTAGAAATGATCAGCTTAGAATTCTAAGTCAATTCATTTCATTTCATTCATTCAAATGAATTTCCTTTAGTTCACGGTCGGTATCTGGGTTGTGATCGCGTTCGGGGTTTTGTTGTTCCTCGTTGGTGGACTGGGCTGTGGTGGGAGTTGTTGCGAGAGTCTTTGCGTCATCGGAATCGTTTGTTTTTTTGACGAATATCTTATAATCTCAATAATCTCAACGATTTTAAACGTCTATTTTCAGTATTTCGTTTTGGTGGCCATTCTCTTCACTTTGGAGATCGCTGGCGGTGTTTACTTCTACGTGAGCAAAGACAGCGTATGTATTACGAGTATAGCTTAAAAGTATCTCAAAAATGATCAACTAATAGCTAAATTGGTACCAAAACGATACAAAAATGATACAAAACGATACAAAAATGATAACAAACTGATTCCAAAATCATATTTTATTAGGTTGGCGACATTGAAATTTCGTTTTTGAGCAACAACAAAATTTATTCGTAAAAAATAAACTGGAGACAATTAATCAATAATATATTCCCCACAGTTATCAATAACATTTTTCCATCTTTGACGCAAATTATGGATTCCCTCTTGAAAGAATGGTGCTGGTTTTGATTGAAAGAAGGCAGAGACCCATTTTTTGATGTCGTCAATGTTCTGGAACTTGTGGCCTTCGAGTGAATGCTGCAAACTTCGAAATAAATGGTGGTCAGATGGAGCAATATCTGGACTATAAGGCGGATGAACTAGAAGTTCCCAGCCCAATTGCTCAATTTTCTCTTGCGTAATTTTCGCAAGGTGAGGACGAGCATTGTCGTGTAACAATCGCACTGTTGTCGGATCAATTCCTTTTGAGCGAAGAACCGCGTTCACGCGATCTAGTTGTTGAACGTAAAGATTTGCATCAACAGTCTGACCAGAAATTAACACTTCAAAATGAACCAGGCCTCGGGTATTCCACCAAACCGACAGCATAACTTTCTTTCCGTGAAAATCCGGTTTAGGTATTGGCTTTGCAATTTCACCCGGGTCCAGCCATTGTCTTTTCCTTGTAATATTGTCATAATGAATCCATTTCTCATCAGCAGTTAAAATTGAATCCCAAAATCCACTATTTTTGGAGATTCGAAGCAAATTTCCTGAACAAAGAACTCTGATTGCTTTGTTTGCATCGCTTAGTAAATGTGGTATCCATTTTCCAGCTTTATTGAACTTGCCCAATTCATGCAAATGGTTGTCGATTGTTTTATGATCACAATTAAAATATTCTGCAAGTTCACGTGTAGTCTTTGTCGGATGACTTTCGATTATCTGCTTCAAATCGTCGTTTGCGACAGCCTGCGAGCGGTGTCCTCGTTCCAGATCTTCCAGACTTTCGTCACTCGCTCGAAATCTTTTGAACCAGTTTTGACATTGACGAACAGTGATAACATCTTTCCCAGATACGTTACAAAGTGATTCATGCGATTCAGTTGCTTTTTTGATTTATGAAATCGTACAGCAAACAGATGCGAAGTCGATATTTGAGGTCGTCTAGCATCTAAAAGATTTTTTTTATTAAAATTCTTCAACTGGGAATAAAGAAAAGGTGCGTAATAAAGCACAATAATTATATCTTTAAAACAGAAGAGATTGCGGTGGTAATAGTATCCACAGTGTTAAATCCATAAAGAGAAACGCAAACGAAATTTCAATGTCGCCAACCTAATATATAGTCAACAACATTAAGCATCAAAAAATCTATCCAATTCTATATTTCAGTTGAGAAGCTGGCTGGCACAAGTTTGGAAAACAGAACTCGTGACTAATTACTACTCGAATCCGACGATTCAATCACAATTGGATCAAATTCAGAGACAAGTTTGAAATTTTGTATGCTATTAAGTCAAAAGAAATGATTGATTAGATAAATTTTATCAGATTATCAGATCCGACAGACATTGCCGCTTTCCTCTTGGGAAATGCGTTTTCTAAAACTTGACAAAACTTACCATAAGCCTAGAGTTCTATCTTTGTATCTTTCTGAGCAAAAAGCTCACTGCACAAAGCACAATCAAAACAAAAACAGAAACTAGACAATGTTACGGTAGCTTTGAAACACGTTTTAGAAAACGCATTACTTGAGAGGTAGAATTTATTGTAAACTATTGTATTTATTGTAAACTATTGTATTTATTGTAAACTATTGTATCTATTGTAGTTCAAACTCTTCTTATTTATCGGCAAAGTGCCCAAAAGCTCAATGCTTTAAAGCCCATTGCTTTAAAGAACAAAATTCTTTCAGCTAAATTGCTGCGGCGGGTACGGATGTTCCGATTTCCAATCTCCGCCAAGCTCGTGCACCGTTTGCTTCAATGGAAATCAAAATCAACAGTACAATGGGCAAGCTGTAAGTGTTTGTTTATCTATTAGATTGTCCAGAAAGTCTTTTCCTTTCTTTTTCCTACTTCTGTTGAAAAATCACAAATTCATTCAATTAATCGATCGTTTACCCTAAAGAAAAAGTGCTCTAAAAAGTGTTTATTGTTCAATTTCCTAGCTTTTTAATTCAATTTGAGTTTACTTTCAAGCAAATTCGAGAGCAAAAGGGTATTTTTTCGAGAAATTCAATAGGGTTTTGCGTAAAAATCTATAGAAACCTCTACAAAGAAATTGGGTGAATCAATTTCTCTGAGAATTTGGCTATATACAAAACTTTTTGTGCTCTATCTTTTATCTATTGACACCGAGATAGGTTTCCTTAGCTAAAGTATCGAAAACGTATCATCAAACCCTCGCTTACCCGACTTTTTGACTGCCCGACTTCAGGCTCCCAAAAAAATCCAGACATTAGACAGATTCTTTATATGATTAAATGCGCCAGGCCTTTCTCTATCGATTGGTACAAAAACTATTCAAATTGGACAGCCCAACACTAAGATATTTGAGCTCAAAGTTAGATTCCCAATGGCAAAGGGGCGGGGCGTGTATAGAAAGGTCTTTCTGGCCCCGCCCCTTTTGCCAATCTAACTTTGAGTTCAAATTTCTTGGTTTTGGACCGTCCAATTTAAATATTCTTGATATCATTAGATGTGCCAAGTTTTTCTCTATCGATTGATACAAAAACTATTCAAATTGAACAGCCCCACACCAAGATATTTGAGCTCAAAGTTAGATTGCCAATGGCAAAGGGGCGGGGCTAACAGATTTCCCACAGTCTTCTGGATAAAAGTCTTGTTGAGATTCAAAAGCCAACTAGCTATCCAATTTTAGCAAGGCTGTGCCTATTTGGTTTTCGACGGTTTCACCTCTAATCTCACCATCGTTCTCATCGTCGCCATTGCAATTTTGATTGTTGAGGTGAGAAACAATGGCTGTACTTGGTCTAACAATAGTTGTACTTGTTCTCGATCTGATGCTTGATCTGGTGCTTGATCTGGTGCTTGATCTGGTGCTTGATCTGATGCTGGATCTGGTGCTTGATCTGGTGCTTGATCTCGTGCTTGATCTCGTGCTTGATCTCGTGCTTGATCTCGTGCTTGATCTCGTGCTTGATCTGATGATGCGGTGCTAGATCTCGCAAACGCACTGGCGCACATAATTTACAATAACGATCAACAAGCGTCAGCTTTGAGTGCGTCAAAGAGCCTCGTTTTATTAGTGAGATACGAAATAAACTAAAAGAGTGACTTTACAATACTCTTTACAGTACTCTTTACAGTACAGTAGCTCATTACAAGCTACAAGTCTACCAATTACCACGATTTTAATGTTTTACAAAATCAATTAATTCAAATTTCAGTTCATCGCTCTCGTTTTCGCTTGTTGTACTTGTTGTGCAGTGAAGAGCAAGCGAAACTCGATTTAAGAATCAAATAAACGAAGAAAAAGCTATCTTTCAGTAGGTAAAACTGAAAAACTATACTTTTCTATGCTTTTCTATGCTTTTCTGAACTTTTTAGTACCATTCTGTTATATCCTAAATTCACTATCAACTTTGTTCCATTTCTAAACTTAAACTGACTTAAAACCGAGCTTTTTTTAAGGTATTTAAGCCATATTTAACAATGTAAGAGTCAAAGAACAATTTTTTATTCTTTTAACATTCTTGAGACACTGAATGAACTTAAATCGTGACTTTACAGAGGACTTTAGAAGTACCGCCACCAAGTGCCCCTCTTGCCAGAGGCAAGCTACTTTTTTGCATTTTTCTTGCCGCTCATTTGACAGATTTAGTTACACTTGGTTTTATTTGATAGCTATCGATCAGGGCTATCTAATAAAACCAAGTATACCCAAATCGCTTAAGTGAGCGCCAAGAAAAACGCAAATAACAGACACCGCGGACACTTGGCGGCGGTACTTCAAAGGAATACTTTATAGTACACCTGTAATCTAAAATAGAACAATCATGCAATGTAAAAGCTATTGAATAAACCAGATAAACTGTTGTTTTGATTTGAATGATTCTCGATTTGGGATATAACAAAATATTGGGTTGGTGAATTGAAAGCTGCCGGACTTTGAACTAAAATTTATTCAACATAAAACCATAAATTCATTCGAAATAATTGCCGTTATTATTGACGACTTCTGCCCATTTTACAGGCAATTTGCGGATTCCTCTTTCGTAGTAGGATTTTGGTTTAAGTGTGAGACAAGTGTGAGACCAAAAATAGAGGACTGGAGACGTCAGCGGTCAGCCCAGTTTGAGCACTTTCTCCCAAAGAAACCCATTTTGGTGTTAATAGAAAAGTTGTAGAGAATCAAAAATTAGGCTTATAGCCAAATTTCCAAAAAGATACACTTAGTAGTTTCGCTTAAAATGCAAGTTTTGTGAAAATTCGTAAATTTGGCATTTCTTGAAAACCAGTTTTTGAATCTTTCTGAAATTTTGGATATAAGCCTAATTTTTGATTCTCTACAACTTTTCCATTGACACCAAAATGGGTTTCTTTTGAAGAAAGTGCTCAAATTGTCACATATGACAATAGCCCGCAGTTTTCAATTCACCAACCCAATAAAATAATAGGTTGATGCATAAGTCTTTTCGTTTTTTTCGTACTTCTGTTAAAAAGTAACAAATTCACCAATTAATCTATAGTTTGCTCTATAAAAAAAGTGTTTTTTTGTTCAATTTGCATCTTTTTAAATCAATTTCGGTTCACTTTCAAGCAAATTCGAGAGTGAAAAACGCCTTTTTCGTAAAAATCTATAAAAAACTCCACGGAAAAATTGGCCGAATGAATTTCTCTGAAATTTTGGCGAAATATCAAACTTTTTTTTCTCTATCTTTTTTTTGACACGAAGATAGGTTTTCTTTAGCTAAGGTGTCTAAACCGCATCATCGAGTTAGCCCTTTTTGACTACCCGACTTCTACCTCAAGAAAATCCAGGCATAAAATATTTTTAAACCCGTTTTAATGTTTTTTGCAGAAAAATTTGGTTTTTCTAATGAAATCAACCGTAGTTTAATTGGTGCATTTGTTGGCTTGAAACGGCAGACGAAAAGGAACAAAAACACTTATGCATCAACCTAATATTAAGTTGATGCAAAAGTCTTTTTCATTTTTTTCGTACTTCTTTTGAAAAATAACAAAGTCATCAATTAACCTATGGTTTGCTCTAAATGAAAAGTGTTTATTGTTGAATTTCCCATCTTTTTGTCAATTTGGGTTCACTTTCAAGCAAATTCGAGAGTGAAAACGGGTTTTTCATAAAAATCTATAAAAACCCTATAAAGAAATTGGCTGAATGAATTTCTCTGAAAATCTGAAAAATATCTCTTTTTGTGCTCTATCTTTTTTTATTAACATCAAGATTGGTTTCCTTAGCTAAAGCGTCTAAAATGCATCATCGAGCCGTCGCCTTTTTTGACTACCCGGCTTCAGGCTCTCAAAAAAATCTAGACATAAGACATTTTAAACTCGTTTTAATGTCATTTTGCAGAAAAATAATTGGTTTTTCTAATGAAATCAACCGTAGTTTAATTGGTGCATTTGTTACTTTTTAACGGAAGTACGAAAAAAATGAAAAAGACTTTTGCATCAACCTAATAGAATAATGGTGCAGTGTAAAAGCTATTAAATAAACCAGATAAACTGTTGTTTTGATTTGAATGATTCTCAATTTGGGATATAACAAAATAGTATTAACTTTTCCATTCTCCAATGCCTTTCTGACTTTCGAAATATTTTTGAAACTGTGGCTTTCAATTTGGAGTTTCTTTTTATAATTTTTGATAACTTTTTATATCTTTTTATGGCTTTTTATGGCTTTTTATGGCTTTTTATGGCTTTTTATAGCTGTTTGTACCTTTTTATACCTTTTTATCACTTTTTACAGCTTCTAACTCATTCAGTTAACTGAATATCTTCAAAAACATTCCATTTTCTATTGTAACTTTAAAAAATGAATCTTTTTTTGTGTAATAATCTATCTGAGTCAAAATTATATCAAAAAATAGTTCTTATTTCTAGAAAGAAAGCTTTCGTGATGTACTTGATCCTCTCTTTTTGATCTTTTCTGTGATCTCTATCAATCTGTCAATCAATTTTGTCAATCAATCAATTCACAAACAAATTTGCATATCAACCCATGATCCCGGTCACTTTTCTGTAGTTTTTCAATCGTTTTGATTAAATGAATTTTCTAATTTTATTTCCAACAAAAAGCCATAGAGAATGTACACAAAAATCGAGATTAAAAAGTTTAAATAAATCAAAAAGCTTAAGTTTAGAAGATTATTGTTGTTGTTGTTAATTGTTGGAATGGTTAAAAGCCTAAATTGGTTATTCTTATGTTATCTTGTGTTATCTTATGTTATCTTATGTTTTTAAATGAGATCACTGTATCCGACAATCACTCTCGTCAACCATTGGCTCTTGTTTTTCGCCGTGTCTTCTCATCTTCAAACTGAGATGCTTCGTTCGACGGATCAATGACCCAGAGCGACTTAGCGGCTAAAAATGATAAAGATAAAGATAAAGATTTTAAAAGAAAAACCTGATTTCTCTTTTGCTCAAGTATAAAAGTTTAGAAATTCAAAGAAGCATTGAAATTTGGTTGATACTGGTAAGAAGATTTCATAAGTGCATCACTATTCAGTTCTTGATTATGCAAAAAAAAAGCTGGCTCAAGTAGCCCAAGTAGCTCAGGCTCTAGTAGCTCAAGTAGCTCGGGCTCTAGTAGCTCAAGTAGCTCAAGTAGCTCGGGCTCTAGTAGCTCAACTAGCTCAAGTAGCTCGGGCTCTAGTAGCTCAAGTAGCTCAGGCTCAAGTAGCTCAAGTAGCTCAGGCTCTAGTAGCTCAAGTAGCTCAAGCTCTAGTAGCTCAAGTAGCTCAAGTAGCTCAGGCTCAAGTAGCTCAAGTAGCTCAGGCTCTAGTAGCTCAAGTAGCTCAGGCTCTAGTAGCTCAAGTAGCTCAGGCTCTAGTAGCTCAAGTAGCTCAAGCTCTAGTAGCTCCAGTAGCTCAAGTAGCTCAGGCTCAAGTAGCTCAAGTAGCTCAGGCTCTAGTAGCTCAAGTAGCTCAGGCTCTAGTAGCTCAAGTAGCTCAAGCTCTAGTAGCTCAAGTAGCTCAAGCTCAAGTAGCTCAGGCTCTAGTAGCTCAACTAGCTCAGGCTCTAGTAGCTCAAGTAGCTCAAGCTCTAGTAGTTCAAGTAGCTCAAGCTCTAGTAGCTCAGGCTCTAGTAGCTCAAGCTCAAGTATCAACGCTAGCGGACAGCAAGACTTTTTTTGGATGGACAGCTACGCAGAAATCAGTTTGTTTTGCAGAAAGGGTTTGTTTTAGTTCAAAATCGTTGTATCGAGAGTTGTCTGTACTTCAAATTCTAAACCAGAGCCTAATTCAACTCACTTTTGTCTCTGAGTCATCCAGTGCTTTCTTCTCTAAGGTCTCTTTCTCGCGTCGAGGGGATTTCATCTAAAAATCATCTTTGATCGTTATGAATTTTATATACCCAATTAAACTGTCATTGAGTTGGAAAGTAACTAGGGAAAGGCACCAGATCAAGGTGGCTTTTGGCTTGATGTGCACCTAGTTGATAGAGCTTTGAATGGAGATTCTAAATCTGCTTTTAGTTTTCCAATGGAGCTCTGTATCACAAGATATTTGGTATCAAAGTTTAAGACCCGAAATCTGGCAGTATTTCAGCCCAATTCCCCAAATTAGATGATAGCAGCTGTGATCTAAGTGTAAGTTGGTGGAATCGAGCCAGAAAGAACTCTGGCTCGGTCCCCGCGCTCCAACTTTTTAGCTCCTCGCTTTAGCGCTCCGTTATTTTTTGATGATTTAACTAACAAATAAAAGAGGATTAACATAGAGGAGATTCAAACTTTGAACGTGAACGTGAACGAGCGAGTGCAAAAAGCTTGTGATCACTCGCAATATCCAATATCCACTGCGTACTGTACCTACGACCCGCAAGTAAAATAAGACTTATAACAGCTCCGAAAAACCGAACTAAACTTTGATGCCTGATTGCGATACAGAGCTCCATTGGAAAAACTAAAAACGGATTCGAGATCCTCATGACCGACTCTATAAGAAGCCACCAGGTCAAGCTGGCTTTTTGACTGAAAAACAACTCCAGTCAAAAAGCCAGCTTGACATGGTGTCTTGACAGTAAGGGCCGCGGTTTTTGCCAAAAACAAAGACTGCAGGCGGAGTCGAACCCCTTATCCTCCGATTGAGAGATAAACGCTCTGGCAATCCACCCTAAAGTCACAATGATTCCACTACTTTTCTGCGCTTTTTTCTCTTAATCGGTTTTCTGTGCTACCCTTTATTGCGGATCCAAGGAGGCTCGATATAAATAAAACTTTACTCACTCTCAATGATCGATGTCTTTTTAAATCTCCATTGTTGGCGAGGAGGCGATCAGCCACAGAAAGCACTGGATGTGATGATTGATGATTGAGAGGAGGATTCTCTTTCAATGGACTCTCGAATTCACGGAGTTCTTGCTGAAACGTTTGCATGAATACAAATGAAAAGCAATTGATGAATTCTTGAAAAAGAAGTCTTGGTATACTTGTGCTTGCTTTAAAGAACCAAAGATTTCATCAAATTTCAATCAGATTATTTCAATCAGATCAATTTCAATCAATCACAATCTATTACAATCAATTTCAATCAGAGTTCAAGAACTCTGATCAACAAAGTTCAGATTTCAATCAAGAGGTCAAGAACAAGAGTTTAGAGATCAAGAACAAGAGTTTAGAGGTCAAGAACAAGAGTTCAGAGGTCATGAACAAGTGTTCAGAGGTCATGAACCAGAGTTCAGAGGTCATGAACAAGAGTTCAGAGATCAAGAACAAGAGTTCAGAGATCAAGAACAAGAGTTTAGAGATCAAGAACAAGAGTTCAGAGGTCATGAACAAGTGTTCAGAGGTCAAGAACAAGAGTTTAGAGATCAAGAACAAGAGTTCAGAGGTCATGAACAAGAGTTCAGAGATCAAGAACAAGAGTTCAGAGGTCATGAACAAGAGTTCAGAGATCAAGAACAAGAGTTCAGAGGTCATGAACAAGAGTTCAGAGGTCATGAACAAGAGTTCAGAGGTCATGAACAAGAGTTCAGAGGTCATGAACAAGAGTTCAAACGTCAAGTACAAGAACAAGAACAAGTACAAAGATCCCAAAAGATTTCAATTTCTTATACTTTAATCCCTAGGCTTGAATATTTACGATCAATTTTGTACGATCGACCGGTACGATCAATTTTCTTTTTGAAGATCAATCGTGAATTCAACTCTAAACCTCGAGAGAAACTTTAACTGTATTATTGCCAATTTCAAGTTGTTTTCTAAACAAAAAATGAACTAAAATCAGTCTTCAAAAGAAGCATGCCTTTTGCGAGAAAATCTGTCGATTCGTCGGCCTTTCTCGTGCTGTATTGTGTCTTCTCAACACCGGCGAATCCTCGTCTTTTCCCTCGTTCAAATCCTCCAATGGACCACCACTTGCCTTTAAAACAAAACAAATAAACAAATTCAGTCACAGACAGGCAAGGATTTTGTTTCTTTTTTGAGAAAATCGCTAGAGAATCGCTTGTTTTTCCAATCAATTTACACCGAAAAAAAAAAGAAAATTTAACAAATTTGAGTTGTCACGAGCTTTGAGCCAATCTAGCTAGCATTAAAAGCTTTAATTTGGATTTTTAGCTATGTAAACGAACACGAAAATTGGCTTTGGCTTTGGTTGGCTTTGGTTAGAAGTTTCTTTGGATGATTGCTAAGGGTCTAAAACGTTTGCTCTTCAAAAATTTTTTTATTGGGTTATCCATTTATGAATGGGCGTTTTTACTATTTTGTAAATTTCTCAAGATATCGAACAGATGTATATGAGTGTTATATATCAATCGAAAGCTGAAGATCTCCTCTACATTTTGGAATCAAAAAAAGGTTTTTGCATTCATTCAACTTTTTGGGAAATTCACTGCACAAAGGGAGAGGTCGTTTCCGAAAAAAACCATTCCAGCTTAGCTATTCCTCAAGTTTTATGGTGTAAAATAACCGCCCGGAAAAGAAAAGAAAAGTAAAGATGCTCTGAAATTGTTATATTTAATCTATTGGCCAAACATTAAACGGTTAACTCAATTTGAGCGGAGCCAAAACTTGATCCAAAGGCACCCTTCCATTTTTTGGCCACCTCTTCTTCTGTGCAGTCAATTTGCCCAAAAGCTGAACAAATTCAAAAACTTTTTATATCAAAATGTAGAGGAGATCTTCAGCTTTCTTATTCTTGATTTCGGTGTCTTGAGAAATTTACAAAATAGTAAAAACGCGCATTCATAACTGGACAACCCAATAGCTAAGCTTTATCTAAGCTTTTTTAGATTTTCTTCTTTTGGTGATTGATTGAACGCTTTTAAACGAAACTCTAGCAATTCTCAACATCAAAATCATCAAAATCAAAAAAACATCAAAATCCTATTCACAGAAATCAGAAAAACTAAAGAAAAAACTCGAAAATAAGATTCAGCATAAATCAGCAAATCTTTGAGTCAAAAATCCCGTTTCCCATAGACATGCTCATGCTGAATCTTTTGATTATGCAAAGTTAGATGTTCTTTACATGTACTTTGTGCTCGACGTCTAAAACACACACCTTCTAATGCACTTATTCTTTGCAAAGTAAAGAACTAAGCACACAAGAAATGGTGCGTTTCTATTTCAGCAAAAAAGAGCATTCAAAGAGTCACTCAAGCAACCAAATAAAGCAACTATTGTTCGCTGAATACCTTTAAAGTTCTGCTTATCGATGGAATCTGTTAAAAGAAGATTGATTGGTTATTCGATGAAAATCGAGATACCTTGCATCTTGGGAATCCGGAAATCTCGAGAAGAGTACGAAAGATTTCGGTCACTCGAATGTTGCTCTTTGCGGATACCTTAAAGATTTTAGATTTAAAAACTTCGAATGCTATTTTACTGATGACTTACTTACGTTTACTCGAAACTAAAACTTGATAAGCAAAGCAATTAAAGCAAAGCAACCAAAGCAAAGCCACTAAAGCAAAGCCACTAAAGCAAAGCAACTAAAGCAAAGCAACCAAAGCAAAGCAACTAAAGCAAAGCAATTAAAGCAAAGCCATTAAAGCCAAGCAACCAAAGCAAAGCCACTAAAGCAAAGCAACCAAAGCAAAGCAACTAAAGCAAAGCAACTAAAGCAAAGCAATTAAAGCAAAGCCATTAAAGCAAAGCAACCAAAGCAAAGCAACTAAAGCAAAGCAACTAAAGCAAAGCAACTAAAGCAAAGCAATTAAAGCAAAGCCATTAAAGCCAAGCAACCAAAGCAAAGCCACTAAAGCAAAGCAACCAAAGCAAAGCAACTAAAGCAAAACCACTAAAGCAAAGCCACTAAAGCAAAGCAACCAAAGCAAAGCAACTAAAGCAAAGCCGAAAAATCAGAACTATAAATGGTATTAAGAAGTGCTTATGATCTTTTTGCCTTCATTGAAAAATCTTCTGGATGTTAATTTTAGAAATTTTTCTCGAAGTTTCTGTTATTTTTTTAAACCATTTCCCAATTCTATTTGCACGGTTCCAAATAATTTTAGCCGAATCCATGAATTAACATTCCCTCTACCACAGCTTGGATACCGTCTTCTCTCTAATAGTAGTGCACCCGGGCGAGCCGAGTTGACGACTATTTTACAGTTCCCAAGCTTTTGCAGAAGCTCAACACTCTATTCCCCCCCTAGACCTCATCGTCAGCTACATTTTCCGACCCCACATCGATAGGTTCTGATAAACGGTTCTTGAGATTTCAAGCAATTTAGGCGACGCTCACGGTGCACGACTATTAGAGAGAATACGGTATATAGAATTCCACTATATAGAGTTTTTTTATATTTAGAATAGCTTAGCGTTGGCCGGGACCAAAATTTTCTATTCCGCTATATAGAGCTTTCCGCTATATAGAGTCATTTGGTCCAGCCATTCACAAAAAACAGCCGTGACTTGGCATTGAGTCACGCGGTCGTCTATGTGTTACCGTATTTTCCCTAATAGTAGTTCACTCCGCTGAGCCGAGTTAATGACTACTTTACGGTTTCTATCTAGTTCCTCTATAACTATTTTCAAAAAAAGCTACTAGTCATTCAGGGTTAAACTGTGGTTCAACAAATTCACCTCCAAATATCGAACATCACCACTTAAACGATTTGTGAACGCAGTGGCAGTGGCTTCGAAAATCTAAAAAATTGATATTCCTATTTTGAATCTTCTTTGTATTTCGAACAAACCTTTTTCGTTGGTAGATCACACTTATTTCCAACTACAACAGTTGGGAGAAGACTAATATCCGGTCGTCGATCGCAGATCTCTTGCCATAGATCGGACATCTAAAAGGATTGTGTACTGGTTATTTTAGATCCGACTATAGACTGTCAGTCAGGTTGTTCAGAGTCATAGCCTAAGTAAATAGCACTAAAGAGGGATGAACAAAGTCTTAAATCAGAGAAAAAGAACACGAAAATAGTGCTTATATAGTAAAATTTGCGATTTGATAATCAAGAAGTACCGGAATATCTGCAGATTCTTGCTTAGAGTTAGCTTATTTACAGTTAGCTCACTTACATCTAGCTCATTTACAGTTAGCTCACTTACATCTAGCTCATTTACAGTTAGATCATTTACATCTAGCTCATTTACATTTCAGATCTGATTCAGACAAGACTTAGATGTCTTAGCCGCTGTTGATTCTCAGTGATCACAGATTCGTCACTGAAAATCAATAGCGGATGACAGACAGAGATCACACGATGAAAGAGTTTTAAAGGTAAATGAGCCAAATGTAAATGAGCTAAATGTATATTAGCCAATCATTTAAAGCTCTTTCATCGTGGGTAATCTGTGATCACTGAGAATCAATAGCGGTTACGACATCTAATTCCTGTCTGAATCAGGTCTATTCTAACAATATGTTTTTGCCAGAATTCAATGTAAATTCCCAATATTTCACCTCTTTGAAAGTCTGCACATCATCGACGGAAAAAACCAATAAAAAGGCGGAAGCCGTAGAAATGGCTAATCTCCTCATATCGGGAAAGTTGAAATTCGTGTCGAGGATGTCGAGTGGTAAAGGGACACCCTGGAAATCGGTACATTTTACACGGACAATTACTATGTAAATCTAATATAATGTATTAGATTTACATAGTAATCGAGAAAAAGGTGCATCGAAACGTTGATGAGCTTAGGCCTGTCATTATCGACGCCTGGCATCAGTCGGTCGACCTAAGCCTAAGTCTAAGCCGAAACTTTCTATATCTCAACTTCCAGACACGAGAACTACCTCAAAATTTGCCAGGATGCTCCTATTGGGGGCGCATGAGCATCGCCAAGCGGGTGTCCCTTAGCTCCGAGAACTGGCTGAGATCCGGAAATTGGGGGTATAGCCCAAACCCAAATAGACTTAGTGCTAGGCGCTAGCCGCTAGCCTACGCACTAAGTCCAAGCCTAAGCCTAGTCGGTCGACCGGTCGACCGTTCTGCACCAGATCGATCAGAAATTGATTGATAACCTCTACCACAGCTTGGATAATCGAGTTTTTCAGCTAATTCAGCGGCTGCTACTGATTATCGAATTAGAAATTGTCGCTCAATTATTATTTTTTGGTAATCCATTAACGGTTTTAAGAACAAATTAGGTCACTTCTTTTCTTATTACCTGTATTCGAAACTGTCTCGAGTGTAGATCCTCAATCGTTTCTTTGTATTTCGCAGAGAATTCCTTGTAGAGGTATTGTCTGAAAGAGTTTTTAAGGTTTTCAAATGTTGAAAAACATTTATAACTCTTTAAGCCTTTAAAACTCTATGTGTAGCTTAAAATTTCAAATCAAGCTCAACAATTGCTTGAATGTAGGCATTGTAAATTGTGAAAAGTCAGTGAAAAGCCAAAATTGTATTGCAAATTGCCATTCAATGCCTTTTTTTGAAGGGTAGTCAAAACAGCGCCATAATAGAAAACCTTCAAAACCGCGCCATAATAGAAAACATTCAAAACAGCGCCGTCAAATTTCTCACAATCCAAAAAACCAAGCCGGTTCAAGTTTTATACCAAAAAACTCCTTGCGTTCTTGGCTACATGATGGGTAAAACAGTTTTTTAAAAAAGTGAATATTTCATAGATAAAAAGAGCACTCAAAACTGGTCTCTAAAGATATTCAGTTAACCAACTGAGTCTCACTCGACACACATTTTGAGTGCTCTTTTTATCTATGAAATATTAACTTTTTTAAAAAACTATTTCACCCGTCATGTAGCCAAGAACGCAAGGAATTTTTTGATATAAAACTTGAACCGGCTTGGTTTTTTGGATTTTTAGAAATTTGACAGCGCTGTTTTGAACGTTTTCTATTCGACACTCTTTTGATATAGCCCCCATTGTCGCTAGGTTAGGGCCATATGCCTTACTTCTGTCTTTTTATCTTATTTATTGCACTTTTTTCTAAACGTAAGGTCGGGTATTCAAGTTTTTATTCATTTTTGCAGCTCTTGATTTGCAAATAGGGTTTTAAGAAGTGAGTTTTAAGCAGTTTTAAGTAGAGTTTTAAGTAGTTTTAAGCAGTAAGTTTTAAGCAGTTTTAAGCAGTGAGTTTTAAGCAGTTTTAAGCAGTTTTAAATAGAGTTTTGAGCGCTGTTTTGACTCAAAATTTTTGATTTTGACATTTTGAGGAGTGAAAAGAAGTCTAATCTTTATCTCCATTGATCTCTAATCATTAAATTATAAAGTTTTATTTACTTAACTTGTTTAACTGCTGAAATCAAGTGATAAACCCCACCTGATCAATGACGTTTTTCCGACTTTCGCCGAGCCGAGCACCACCAAACGGTAGCGTTCCTCGCCCATGCTAAAATCAAAGTGTAAAATTATAAAACCTTTCAAATTTAGTACATTTAAACAATCAAAGCCTTTAAAACAATCAAAATACTGGGGATTTTTGATTTTTCAATTGCTTAAGTCAAAAACCACAGTTTTCGACAGATTTGGGAGGAAATTTGTCGGAAACGCAAAGCGGAAATTTGTTTGGCAAAGAATTCATCGGAAATTTTACTCAAATTTTTCATTTGTGAGATTTTATTTACGTAAAACTATGATTTTTATTTGAAAAAGAAGCCTTTGAAAAGATTTTCTTTTTTTGGAAAGAGATTACCAAAGAGGAAATCCGGGAATTAATTCCGGAGGATCAATGGAGAGAAATTGCATCATATGAATCGATTTTGAAAGCTTAAAAAGATATTAAAGATATTAAAACTTAGAAAACTCTCTTTTGAACATTAGCTAAAGGTTTAAAGGTGAAATTTGGTGAAATTTGGTGAAATTTGGTGAAATTTGGTGAAATTAGGGTAAAACTTTTGATTTTATCCCATTTGCCGGTCTTCACTCAGTTTCAGTGTTCAAATCGAAACGCACTTGGTCTAACGCGATCAAACTTTGATTTTTCTTATAGAAAAATTCTTCTACTATATAAAATGAAGCATTTAATGCTCCAGGAAAGGTGTGTTTCTATTTCTAACACAAAGTACACCTGAAAAATTGGATAACAAAGCTACTTTTACTTCTTCAAGTAGACGCTAGCTCTTCAAGTAGACGCTAGCTCTTCAAGTAGACGCTAGCTCTTCTAGTAGACGCTAGCTCTTCTAGTAGACGCTAGCTCTTCTAGTAGACGCTAGCTCTTCTAGTAGACGCTAGCTCTTCTAGTAGACGCTAGCTCTTCTAGTAGACGCTAGCTCTTCTAGTAGACGCTAGCTCTTCTAGTAGACGCTAGCTCTTCTAGTAGACGCTAGCTCTTCTAGTAGACGCTAGCTCTTCTAGCAGAAGCCACTTCTTCTAGCAGAAGCCACTTCTTCTAGCAGAAGCCACTTCTTCTAGCAGAAGCCACTTCTTCTAGTAGCAGCTTTTTCAAGCTCAACAAAAGACTAGATAACAAGATTAAAATTAACAGTCTAAACCTTGATCAATACAAGCTTTTTACTCAAATCTGATTTGAAAAAGGCAAAGCTAAAAGTTCTAGCTCATTCAAAAAGCTCAATGATTTTGTTTTTATTTCGTTCTTTCTTGTGATCAATGTATAGGAGAGGGTTAATGAGAGGCTTTTCATTAAGCCACGAGTTTCCTCGTCTCAAAGACACAGAAAAGAGAGCTGAAAACGTAAAAAAGAGCAAAAGTCAAACAGAACATAGCCTTCAATTCACGATTTTTAAACTCCCGTATAATTTGGCTATTTTCACTTGTAAGATATTAGTTATAGTAGGTAAAAGTTCTGTACACGATGGGCATATAGTGTTGCGCTCTGCAAAAGAATGATTTTCTCAAAAACCAAAAGATATAACAGTTTTTCGTTTCGATATTCAAAATCTACGGACATTTTTTCGATAGATTTATGATTTTGTGAAATTGAAAACTTTATTCGTTTCATATAAGACTTTAAACGTGACTGCTGCGAAAAAATGACATTTGTCAAAAATGTGGCTCTTTTTGTTAGCCAAGATAACCACACATTTGCAATAATGAAGCTTAAAAAGCACTAGTTTTATATAAATTAACTCTAAAAACATATGAATGCAGAAAAAGACGGAGAAAGACGATTTTAGAGACTCCAGACCTGAATTTAACTGTTTTTCAGCATAGCATTTTTTTTATTGCTTGGCTAGGGTTGTCAAAGTCATTAAAAACGTTTCTCTTTTCTTCTTCTTCTTCTTTTTTTTGCGCTTCTTCTTTTCTATGCAAAATTATGCGTAGATTTTATGATTAATTGTTGGTGAAACTTAATGTTTAATGTCAGCTTTAGTTAATGTACTTGGATGTTTTCTCTTTCAAACTTTAGCTGTTTGTTTTTAGAAAAATCATTATTTCTATATATAGAAAGTTTAATGATAAAAAGAAAAACCGAGAAAATTTTAAAGAAAGCAGTTTACAGCAAGTTATCGAGTAAGTTTGGGTTATTGTCGGTAAAGGTGCGGAAGAAGAGTCCAGATAAAGTCTAAGACACTTAGAAAGCGAAAAAGATGCATTGAACGCAACAATATATATGTCTATATAGTGTTGCGCTTAATGCAACCCTGTAAAGGCTTGGTATACTAGCTAATTGTTCAATTAGTTAAAAAGTAGAAAGAGTTTACTTTTATTTTGAGCATAAAGTACATCAAAGGAACAATCATCTGCAGAAAGAGCAAAACCTTCTCAAGGACAGGAAAGGATTCTGTGATACTAGAGAACATTGGAAGTTTATCCTCATCTGTAGAAAGAGAAAAGCCTGTTCAAGGACAAGAAAGAATTCTGTGATACTAGAGAACATTGGAAGCTTATCCTCATCTGTAGAAAGAGAAAAGCCTGTTCAAGGACAAGAAAGAATTCTGTGATACTAGAGAACATTGGAAGCTTATCCTCATCTGTAAGCTTGAGCTCATCTGTAGAAAGAGCAAAGCCTGCTTAAGGACAAGAAAAGATTCTGTGATACTAGAGAACATTGGAAGTTTATCCTCATCTGTAGAAAGAGCAAAACCTTCTCAAGGACAGGAAAGGATTCTGTGATACTAGAGAACATTGGAAGCTTAAGCTCATCTGTAGAAAGAGCAAAACCTGCTCAAGGACAGGAAAGGATTCTGTGATACTAGAGAACATTGGAAGTTTATCCTCATCTGTAGAAAGAGAAAAGCCTGTTCAGGGACAAGAAAGGATTCTGTGATACTAGAGAACATTGGAAGCTTATCCTCATCTGTAAGCTTGAGCTCATCTGTAGAAAGATCAAAGCCTGCTTAAGGACAAGAAAAGATTCTGTGATACTAGAGAACATTGGAAGCTTATTCTTGCCTTCCGTTTGAATTGATGATGATGAATTGTTTGATAATGAATTGATGAATTGACTTTGAATTAATGATTTATTGAGTATCGATTTGAAATCTACATTTTAAGGCTCAAGAAAGGATAAATTTCAAGCCTATATGTTTAGCCTATATGTCAAGGCTAGCTTTTAGTTTTAAAACTATAATACTACCCTCATTTATAAAGGTGTAGGAATGTTTAGCAGTCAAAAAAAAGAGAAAAACGTTCTAGTGCTTTAAAGTGGCAAGTTTAAAACGCTAAAAGTGTTAGAATAGGAACGAGAAAAGCAGTCAAAAAGATTACAAAAGGTTGCTAAACTTAAAAATCATCACTTCCTGGTTCTTTACTTACCTCATTGTGAGTAGCTTTCTTTAAATGTATTATTCTCTGACTTGTAAGACTAGTAAGACTTGTAGTTTGAAGAAAACCAAATAAATATTCAAGTAAATAAATTTGATCTTAAAAATCTCAGAAAAACTCGGTTAAATACCATCCGGGGAGGTCCGGGGAATCTTTTCCCGGATTTATATCTTCTCCGAGATAAGCTCTCAATAGAATGGCACCTTTTGATCGCCCACTCATCTGAATACTCCATTTTTCTTTTCTTTTCCTTTTCTTTTCCTTTTCTTTTCTTTTCTTTTCTTTTCCACAAAATACGTATTAGTTCAAGACCTATCAAATGAATCAAAAGAAGAAAAAAATTTCAATAAACTAGTCTAATTTGCAAAGAAATCTGAGTGTGCAAAATTGCAGAGATCTAAACGCCTACGTGAGATCAAAGATTTTCATCTGAATCAGTGAAAAATTAAAGTATTGTATAAAAAAGCAAAGTTGAAGAGAAAACAAAGTTTCAAGTAAGAGATTAGACTTATGTGCTTTGTATCAGACTTTGCTAGACTTTTTCTGGGATCTGATCAAAGCAGCGCCACGTACGAACAGCGCCGCATGCAAACAGCGCCAAGTACGAACAGCGCCACGTACGAACAGCGCCACGTACGAACAGCGCCACGTACGAACAGCGCCACGTACGAACAGCGCCACGTACGAACAGCGCCGCATGCAAACGTACGAACAGCGCCACGTACGAACAGCGCCACGCACGAACAGCGCCACGTACGAACAGCGCCACGTACGAACATCGCCATGCACGAACAGCGCCGCATGCAAACAGCGCCGCATACAAACAGCGCCACGGCAAAAGTACTCCCTATGCGAAACAAGCTTTTTCAGTTAACAAGTTGAATTTGAAACTAGAACCAGACTAAGTCCATTAGACAAACTAAAACTTGAAATTTTATGCTATGAAAGAAAAAACATGCTACTTCTTGCTTTTCTTTCTTTTCATAAGAGTGAATCCAATTGAACGGAGAGATGCTTTTTTTTCTCTTTTCCAGGATTTTTCAATGAAAAGCATTGTGGTAATTGACACGTGAGGAGGCCGTTTGAAAAGGAGAAAAGAAAAGAAGATTTGGAATAAAAAATGAAGAAAAATGAAGAAAAATGAAAGAAACATTAATGATCTGCTGAAGATTACTCAGCTGATACAAATTCTCTCATGATGAATTGCTTAGTGGGCTTAATACTTTTCAAGATCTAGCACGAGCGATCAAAACGAGCGATCAAAACACAATCGGATTAGGCTGAGCTTATTGTTTTGTTGTTCTTTTGGTTTGCAAAAAGTTAATGATCTTTAAAACAATATTTTATTTAACGATAATTTAGTCTAAGCTTAAGCTAACGAGCTAAAATGCTAGTTAAAAATTGGTTACAAAAACGAAATTCGCTTCACTGTTAATAGATATGAAAATTTGAAATTTGATTCTATAGATTCTATAGATTTATAGAAGTCTATAGATTCTATAGATCTATAGATTTATACAATTCTATAGATTCTATAGATTTATAGAATTCTATAGGTTTTATAGATTCTATACAACGAAATGAGTCGTCAATTGTCATTGGCAATCGATTCAAAGACCTTGTAAACCCCTGGATACCAATTTTTTTTCTTTTGATCTCTCTTCGCACTTACCGTAAACACTATAATAGTACCCCACCCCCATAATGACGGTGCGAAGTGTTGCGTAGTTTAGTTTTGCACGAGTTTTTCTCGACACTCGTTTATGCTACAATGCGCGCTTAGGTATCAAAAAACACCCCTGAATTTCAGCTATTTAAAGACGTGATCTTCTCGATTTGTGACCTTTTTCTGGGGGAATTTGGATTAGCGTTTTAAAGCTGGGTAAGTTGAGGTAGGGAAAAGAGAAAAGAGATCCAGTTTTGTTAACTGAGAAACCCAGAAATTTCTAAAAGCTCTAAAAAAGTTGAAAGTTTTAAAGCTTCATCATTCAGGCATCACATTCAAATTGAAAAATCTAATTAAATAATCGGTTCGGTTGAATGTCGCCTTGTTACGTCGACTCTATTCGTTTCGACTCCAGTGGTTTCACGCACTCTTTAACTCTCTCTTCAAAGTCCTTTGCAACTTTCCCTCACGGTACTTGTTTGCTATCGGTCTCGTAGCCATAATTGAAAAATCTAATTAAATAATAAAAAAAAGAGTGAAATGACATCAGTCTATGCGAATTTACAAACGTACAATTTACAAACATACAATTTACAAACATACAATTTACAAACGTACAATTGACAAACGTACAATTGACAAACGTACAATTTACAAACGTACAATTGACAAAAGTACAACTTACAAACGTACAATTGACAAAAGTACAACTTACAAACGTACAATTGACAAAAGTACAACTTACAAACGTACAATCTACAACAAAATACACTTCAGAAGGAATGATTGATGTGTCGATCTCGTGGGAAATTTCAATGAATCGTTGATTAACAAAAATGGAGATGCGTCAGGAATGAGGGAAAAATGTCTCAAAAGAGAAAAATGTCTCAAAAGGGAAAAATGCCTCAAAAATTTCTTTTAAATCGCTTTTGATTGGTGAATACGTGGAAATTTGGGGTTTGTTCTCCAAAAAAAAACAGAAACCGATTGAAAATTCAGCCTGATTTGGAGAAATTCCGATGCGTTTTGGGTTAAAAAAAAAACGGGAATTCATGAATTTTTCAGCCAATCAGGCTGTTGTTTGATGAAAACCAGGGAAAAGAAATTTAAATTGTGATTTTACTTTAGAAAACCTGGTGATTTTTATGGTTTAATGGTGTACTTTGTGCTTGAAATAGAAACTTTTCTCTTCTGTGCTCACTTTTTTCTCAAATCCGATTGGAAAGAGGTTTTTGCGATGGATTAGAAGGATGTGTTTCCGTTTGAGTTTCGAAAAAATGAAGGCTTTTCCCGAATTTCTGGCACACGCTGTTTGGGTGCGGCGCTGGCATGGGCGCGGAGCTGTCATGGACGCGGCGCTGTCTGGGCATCCTTAGCGTATGCGCGTGCAGATTACCCATAATATAGACGCATGGAAACGTGCTAACGGTCGCAGTACGAGGACAATAAGCTCTCTTCAATGTTCGCTATTTGGGTGCGGCGCTGTTTGGTTGCGGCGCTGTTTGGGTGTGGCCCTGTTTGGGTGTGGCGCTGCATCCTTAGCGTATGCGCGTGCAGATTACCCATAATATAGACAATAAAAGTGCTCGGTCGGTCGAGGACAATCAGCTCTCTTCAATGTTCGCTATTTGGGCGCGGCGATGTTTGTGCGCGGCGCTGTTTGTGCACTTTAGAAAACTTGATGATTCTTATAGTTTAATGGTGTACCTTCTGCTTGAAATAGAAACTTTTCCCTTCTGTGCTCACTTTTCTCAGATCCGATTGAGAGAAAATTTTGCGATGCTTTAGAAGGATGTGTTTCCGTTTGTGAGCTCAAAGTACACAAAAAAAGAAGCCAAATCAGAGCTCACCAATTCTCGTGCATTCTTAGCGAATGCGCGTGCAGATTACCCATAATATAGACAATAAAAGCGTTCGGGTCGATCGAGGACAATCTTCGACAATCGAGGAGAATCAGCTCTCTTCAATGTAATCAAAGCTTACTCAATTCAGCATAAAGAAGTCGGGAATTGTCAAGGAAGTGCTCTTCTCGTTGAACAATTGCTACCGCAGGACAATTGCTATTATAGCCTCAAAATTTATCCAAAGCTTCTCATTCAGATGCCAGAAGAAGAGGCTTTTGCCGTTCTTGTCCCGATTGTTGGAGAAATGGAGAACTACAGACTCCGAGAGTTGGTGAATAGGTAAATTTAACGAAAATTCGTTAAAAATAACTCTGAAATCAGCTGAATATCTATTGTTTTTCTCCGGAATCTCACGAAATATTTTCGAGTTTTCACCTGCGTCACTGAGTCATTGTTTTGAGAAGAATGTCTGAAGAAAAAGAGGAAAAAAAAAGAATAGAAATTTCGCATAGTCTTTTCCTTTTTTTGAAGTGAAATTGGTGTTTTTGGTAAACAAGTTGATTTGGTTTAAAGCATAAAGCTTTTGAAACACAAAAACGTTTTCTATAGCCAAATTCTCAGAGAAATTCATTTATCCAATGTCTTTTTTTAGGAGCCTGAAGTCGGGTAGTCAAAAAATCGGGTAGGCGATGGCTCGATGATACGGTTTCAATACTTCAGCTAAGGAAACCTATCTCGGTGTCAATAGGTAAAAGATAGAGCACAAAACGTTTAGTATATAGCCAAATTCTCAGAGAAATTGATTGACCCAATTTCTTTGTAGAGGTTTCGATAGATTTTTACGAAAAACATTTCTCGTCCACTTTCGAAAGCACGTTCTCTCTCGAATTTGCTTAAAAATGAAGCCAAATTGACTTTAAAAGATGGGAAATTCAACAATAAACAGATTTTATTTAGAGCAACTCATAAGTTAAAGGGGGCGGGGCCAGAAAGACCTTTTATACGCGCCCCGCCCTTTTTCCATTGGCAATCTAACTTTGAGCTCAAATATCTTAGTGTTGGGCTGTCCAATTTAAATAGTTTTTGTACCAATCAATAGAGAAAGTTTTGGCGCATTTAATGATATAAAGAATTTGTCTTATGCCTGGATTTTGTCTTTTTTAGGAGCCTGAAGTCGGGTGGTCAAAAAATCGGGTGGGCGATGGTTCGATAATACGGTTTGAATACTTTAGCTAAGGAAACCTATGTTGGTGTCAATAGATAAAAGATAGAGCACAAAACGTTTAGTATATAGTCAAATTCTCAGAGAAATTGATTGACCCAATTTCTTTGTAGAGGCTTCTATAGATTTTTACGAAAAATATTTCTCGTCCACTTTCGAAAGCACGTTCACTCTCGAATTTGCTTAAAAATAAAGCCAAATTGACTGAAAAAGATGGGAAATTAAACAATAAACACTTTTTATTTAGAGAATAAAGCTTCAAATTGATAAACGGCCGGCCAGCTGATTTTTTTAGGAGCCTGAAGTCGGGTAGTGAAAAAGGGCGACGGTTCGATGATGCCGACACTTTAGCTTTAGAAAAGACACACTTTAGCTAAGGAAACCTATGTTGGTGTCAATAGGTAAAAGATAGAGCACAAAACGTTTAATATATAGCTAAATTTTCAGAAAAATTCATGGGACGAATTTCTTCGTAGAGGTTTTCATAGATTTTTACGAAAAACATTTCTCGTCCACTTTCGAAAGCACGTTCACTCTCGAATTTGCTTAAAAATGAAGCCAAATCGACTGAGAAAGATGGAAGATTAAACAATAAACACTTTTTCTTTAGAGAAAACCATAGGTTAATTGGTAAATTTGTTATTTTTCAATGGAAGTATGAAAAGGAACGAAAAGATTTGCTGGAAAGCCTAATAATTCTGATAAAAGACTTAATTTCTATGAGATTTCAATGAGATTTCAATGAGATTTCAATGAAATCAGCTCTTATCTATAGATTTTTTGGCTTCGAATTGATTTAGTGCTAAATTTTTGATCAAACTTACTTATCTGGGCTGATGGGAGCAATCATTGGTAAAGAAGTTTAGATAAAAGTTTAAAGATTTGATTAGATAATTTACTACTCCATAAAAGCTCCATAAAAGAAATCAATTTTCGGGATTTGAGAATTTGTAGCCGTGAGATCATTCGGAGGCTGTTATTATTATTTTGAGCTGAGATATTGATGGACTTATTACATTCGAGTAATTAATCTACAAGGTGGGCCAAAATTACCGTTACAATGCTCACTCACGCGAAAATGCGAAAGCGAACGGTAATAAACAGCGCCGCGCACAAACAGCGCGGCGCACCAGCGCCAAACTCACGCACAAATGCGATAGCGAAATGGAAGAAAGCGAACGGTAACAAACAGCGCCGCGCACAAACAGCGCCGCGCACCAGCGCCGCGCACCAGCGCCAAACTCACGCGCAAATGTGATAGCGAAATGGAAGAAAGCGAACGGTAACAAACAGCGCCGCGCACAAACAGCGCCGCGCACCAGCGCCAAACTCACGCGCAAATGTGATAGCGAAATGGAAGAAAGCGAACGGTAACAAACAGCGCCGCGCACCAGCGCCAAACTCACGCGCAAATGTGATAGCGAAATGGAAGGCGACGGTAACAAACAGCGCCGCGCACAAACAGCGCCGCGCACCAGCGCCAAACTCACGCGCAAATGTGATGCGATGGAAGGCTAACGGTACAAACAGCGCCGCGCCAAACAGCGCCGCGCACCAGCGCCAAACTCACGCGCAAATGTGATAGCGAAATGGAAGAAAGCTAACGGTAACAAACAGCGCCGCGCACTAGCGCCAAACTTACGCGCAAATACATTACAAATACAAAAGCGAATACATTCGAGTAATTAATCTAGAAGCAAAACTATTTTCGAATACAATTGGAGTTGAAAACTGAGATTGGAGTTGAACTGATATTTGTCAGAAGATATTAGGCTTTAAGCTTTGAGAAATGGACTGAAATATCTCTGGATCGCTGAACTTGTCTTTTCCTTGCATTCAGCACATTTTATAATGCAGGGTTTTTGAAAGTTCGGAATGTTTTGCTTGTTCCGGGTTTTTGTTAAATGTTCCGGGTTTTTGAAAATAAAACTTTAAAACGAAATTGGAAAGCATTTGTATAAAAGCAATGTGAACGAGTTGCCGAGGTGTGCCGTGGAGTCGTCTCTACTCTCCCAAATCCCAAACCACTGAACCAACTATTATTGCTGTAATAAAGATTATATCTAAACCACCAATAATCACTACACACTCCAAGATTAGAAGTTTGACTTCTAGCGCTATTATTTTTGCGTTTAATGACCGTTTAAACTAATGAACTGTGTCCCAAAGACAATACAGAATATAAAGAAAAGAAAAGAAATGATTAGAATTGTTTGAAATCAATTCTGAGAAGATTCTGAGAAGATTCTGAGAAGATATCAACTTTAAACTTTGGTAAAAGGTATCACACATACCATTTTTGAGAACTTTTTTGCTTTAATCTAATCTTTCAATTCTTTTATGATTAAATAATCATAAAAGAATTGAAAGATTAGGCTATCAAAAAGCTTTTAAGCAAAAAAAGAGATTAAAGAATCTATTGAGATTGTAAAATGATGAATTTTCAAAGAAATTTTATTCATTCATTCTATTCTTTTCAACTGAACTTGAGAAAAAATTGCTAGAAGATGAGGAAGAGATGTTTTTTGTGAAAGAAAATGAAGTCAAAAAGCTTCTTTTACTTTCAATGACACCCGTGTCGGCAAATTGCTTCACTTGTTTTAACCGCTTCTTTTCGCAAAAAAGAAAAATTTCTCATTTTCAACTTCCCACTTTGTAACGGCAAAAACTCAAAGTTTAACTACTCTAATTTGAAAATTTGGCTCTTTTAAGGGTTAGATTTTTGAACTTTGACGAGACTTTTGAACATTTTAGAAATATTTCCCACTTTGCAATGGGTTTTTTTTATGTTTACGGGAATTTATAAGCAACTATTGATCAACAACTATTGATCAACAAGTATTTATCAACAACTATTCATCAACAACTATTCATCAACAACTATTTATCAACAACTATTGATCAACAAGTATTGATCAACAACTATTCATCAACAACTATTCATTAGCAACTATTCATCAACAACTATTGATCAACAAGTATTTATCAACAACTATTGATCAACAACTATTCATCAACAACTATTCATCAACAACTATTCATCAACAACTATTCATCAACAACTATTCATCAACAACTATTCATCAACAATAAAAAAAATAGAAACGTTATGTATATTCTAATAATTCAAACGATAGGGAAAACGAGGGAAATCTCATTCAAAAGATTTCGAAAAGATAAACAGCTCTTCTATACATTTGGGAACTTTGATATTTTGATATTACTGAAAGTTTAATCTTTTGGTATTACTGGGAACTTTATTTTTCATTGCAAGCTTCATTTGCTCACCGGACATCACAGTTCAACTCAAAAAAACCTCAACCAGCCATTGACATCGAAATAACTCTCCCAACAAAACCTCTAACACATTGAACATCATTTTTGGAAGTGTGCAAGAATTGGAACAAGAAAGAGATGTCGCAATTCAGTTTTCAGCCGTTATTCGTTGATCTTTAATCGGAAAAACTGCAGTGATCGTGTTCAAAGAATCGCCTTATCAAAGATTTTGACGCGCATTGGCTTCGAACTTTTCGACTAAATTTACTTGATTAAATCCAGGCTTCTCCTGGAGGGAATGGTCAAGAAAACTGACAAGGGAATGGTCAGAAGTGACGGTGACATTTGCGGGGCAAACACAAGTCGAATACGGTGATCACGATGATTTTGATTTTGCCAAGACGCCCTAGTTTTCGAGGAAAACGCATTGCCAGCTTGGGAATCGACTCGGGCAACGAGCGCTAGAGGTTAAGTGGCCTCTATCGCTCGCCTCGATGGTCTAGTGGATAGTGAAGACCACCAACAAACCTATACTTTTGCCGCGGGTTCGAATCGCCTCCGTGTTCGAATTCTCTGACGGGAGAGAGCAGGGGAGGCCACTTAAATTGCGCGCCCGTTTCCCAAGTCGATTCCCAAGCTCGAACACGGAGGAACCCGCGGCAAAAAAGTTGTATAGGTTTGATAAAGCCATTCTTTGAACACTATTAAAGATTAATAACGGCTGAAAACTGAATTGCGACATCTCTTTCTGCCTTCACTATCCACTAGACCATCGAGGTGGCAAGGAAGAGCGAGAGAGGCAACTTAACCTCGCGCGCCCATTTCCCGAGTCGATTCCCAAA